CCGGGGCACGAACCCATGTGCCCTGCATTGGCAGGCGGACTCCCAACCACTGCGCCACCAGGGAAGCCCCCCCAGCCCCATTTTTATGCACAAAGCACACAGCACCTCTCCTCTCTCCACTGGGACCAGGACTCCTCCTGCTTTGTGCTCCCAGCTGGGTGCTAAACGCACGGCTGGTCCCCTCGACACCTGTCCCTACTGAGTAACTGCCATGTGGAAGGCCTCGTACTAGAGAGGCCCTGCAAGGGACTCAGGGGAATAAGATCAGTATCTCCACCCTTAGGTAACTTGCAGCCTAATATGAGGTAAGGAAAAAGGCCAATCAACACTGCAAGGCTGGGAAAGATAAAGGTGGCAAAGGACTTTGCACATGCTGTTCCCTCTATCTGTAATACTCTTCCCTTCATCTACAGCAGCCAAACTCCACTCATCCGTCAACCCCCTGCCATTTAGAGTGAACAGCTTCTTGGAGCTCCGCTGACCAATCCTGCACACACCTTTGCTCTCATCTATACTGTATCCTGATAACTAACCTGCGAGTTACATGCCTGTCTCCCCTGCTAGGCTGTGAGCAGCTGAGCACCAAGACTGGGTGTGGTTCTGCACCTGGCACATAGTAGGTGCTCAATAAATGTATGGAAGCCCAGGGACGTGGGCAGGTTGGGGAGTCCAAGGGACGGGAAGCCCCAGGCTCCCACAGTGAGTAGGGGTCGGTACCTGAGCATGCGGACCAGGGCAGGGATGCCACCCGACTTGAAGATGGCAAGCAGCCCCTCGCGGTGGTGGGAGAGGTTGTGAAGGATGCTGGTGGTACAGCGGGCTGTGTCCAGGTCGCTGGTGTTCTGCATGGCGCGCACGACGGCTGCTACCAGCTGGGGCGAGCCCATCAGCGCCCGCCGAGACGCCTCCTTCTTCGACAGCTGGTTCACGATCATGGCCGCCTTGGTCACCACCACCTGGGGGGAGGGGGAGGATAGGAGGATCTGAGCAGATGGGCCAGGTTGGTTGCCACTGTGAGAAGGAAGGGCCAGGAGACCCCTCCACAAAGCTCAGACAGACCCGGGTCAGACTCTTCCCACTGATGGGGCTTTGGGTCAATGACCTCCCTCCACCCCAGGTAGGGCCCTCTCCTGCAGACACCTGACCTCTCCCTTCCTTGCCCCGCCTCCACCCGGCCAGACCCCTCACAGACCGGGTCCTCATCGTTGAGCAGTTTGGTGAGCTCAGGAAGGGCCCGGGTGGCTAGCTCGGCGTCGTCCTGGTAGTTGATGAGATGCACGATGGCCGACTTCAGGAGCTGGGATGGCTCGGCCAGCCGCTGCAGGTTAGTGGTCTGTCCCTCCACCTGGGTGGCCAGCAGGGAGCTGTCCTCTCTTGTCACACCAGGACATATGGCCTCCCGCACACGCTTGGCTCTGGCTGTCGTGGACATCTGGTAATCCAGGTCACCTGGGGGCCAACAGGCAGGGACTGAGCTGCAGGATGCAGGCAGGGGGACACTGGAGAGCAGGCATCCCATCTGGGCCCTCTGGACTGCCTCCCAGACCACCACTCATAGTTCTACCTTTAACCAGTGACCTTGAGGAGGGCATCATCGCCTCAGTTACATCATCTATAAAATGGGGCACCACCTGTTCTGTTCGTCGCAGGGAATTCTTACGAGAATTAAATGAGATAATAGTTGTGAATTGCGACTTCCCTGGTGGTCCAGTGGTAAAGAATCCTCCTTACAATGCAGGGATTGCGGGTTTGATCCCTGGTCAGGGAACTAAGATCTCACATGCCGCGGGGCAACGAAGCTCACGTGCCACAACTACTGAGCTCACGCACCTCAACTAGAGCCTACGTGCCACAAACCACAGAGCCCTCACGCTCTGGAACCCACGTGCCACTACAGAGCCCACATGTCCTGAAGCCTGTGCACCACAACTAGAAAACAGAAAATCCACACACCACAACTAGAGAGAAGGCTGTGCACCACAATGGAGAGCCCACGTGCCGCAACTAAGACCTGACGCAGCTAAAAATAAATAAAATAAATCTTTAAAAAAAAAATTGTGAATTGCTCTTAAAAGAAAGGATGGGGGGGGGGCTTCCCTGGTGGCACAGTCGTTGAGAGTCCAC